CTTGGGTTATCCCTGACACATTGCATTGTATTCGGGATGCAGTGAAGGTTCTGGACTGGGGGCATGATGAGCAGGACACAGCGGCGAAGCACCGCGAGGCCTTCGAGAAGGAGGTCGCCGTCTGGCAGAAGCTTGACCACCCCAACGTCACTAAGGTTACGTAAGCAAAATTCACTGCCATCTTTGAGTTCGAGTTGGGTTCACTGCACCGTGCACGTCTGGATCACTGAAACTTGCCGGCGGCATGCAGTTCGTGGGCGCGTCGATGGGGACGTCGCAGCTGAAGATCCCCACGAAGGGGTCGACCTCCTCCTCCTGCGGCGGCCGCACCACGCCGAACGAGTGCTGCGTCGTCGTGGTCGAGTTCCAACACGGCGGCACGCTCAAGACGCTGATGTACAACCACCGGGACAAGAAGCTTTCCTACAGGAAGGTCGTCCGTCTCGCGCTCGATCTCGCCAGAGGGTGAGTACGTCATGCATGAGTGCTAACTTGCATGCCGCTGATGTAGAGAAGTGCTACACCTGCACTGCACACACCACTACGGTATCGTCCTCAATCGATGATGGCGCGCGGTCATGACGGGATATGCACGCATGCAGGCTGAGCTACCTGCACTCGAAGAAGATCATGCACCGCGACGTGAAGGCGGAGAACATGCTGCTGGACCGGAAGCGGACACTGAAGATCGCCGACTTCGGTGTGGCACGCGTGGAGGCGCAGAGCTGCGAGGTGACGGGGCAGACAGGCACGCTGGGCTACATGGCGCCGGAGGTGCTGCAGGGGAAGCCGTACGACCACAAGTGTGACGTGTACAGCTTCGGGCATACTGCTGTGGAGACCTACTGCTGCGCCATGGCCTACCCCAACTATAGCCTCGCCGATATCTCCTACCACGTCGTCAAGCTGGTGCTCGCTTGTCGTGCACACGTGCATTATATGTTTGCTCGGTCGGCACTGTCACCACTGAGCTAGCTCTGATCAGTGGACGTTGTGTGCAGGGCATCCGGCCAGACATCCCGAGGTGCTGTCCACGGGCGATGGCGGACATCATGACACGGTGTTGGGACGGGAACCCAGACAACCGGCCTGAGATGTCGGAGGTGGTGGCGCTGCTGGAGAAGATCGACACCAGCAGCGGCAAGGGTGGCATGACCCCCGTCGACGACGTCGCGCAAGGGTGCTCCTGCTTCGGCTTCAACCGCAGCGTCGCCTAGGCTAGCTCTCGCCAGTTGAGACCTCAGTTACAGTTAAGTTAATAATAAGCTAGTACACACCAAACTATGGCTGGCCATGCATGCCTCAACTAGTCGGCCAGCGGGCATCGATCGCCTTCTTTGCATGCTGTCTGTCGCCCCCATCATTGTGCGAATGTGTTTGAAGCGTCGCGCCATGGACTTGCGTAACCTGTAATTTGTTTTGTGAACTGTGGTCTGACATGAAATCTGTGTTGGCATCACACAATCTTCAAGACTGCAATGAGAGGGCGGCCTTGGCAATTTTATTTGATCGGTTTGGACATTTCTTGACTAACGCTAAAAGGTTAGAAAACGCTGAGAACATCATTATTTATTTGAAAAAAAAATCTACCACAGAAGATAAAATCTAATATTTTTTACATTGTTTTAGAATTCATATAATTTTGAAGTAGTTTTTCAGATTTTTTGAATGGGGTTTTGATAATTTTTAGTCTAGCTATTTAAAATATTGAAAGCACGAAGCTACGGTGAGTTAATCACAAAGGGAAGAAAAAAGAAAAAGAAAAATGAACCCGCGTGACTTTGCACGCCGAACTTTGCCACCTGGGCCGACTTCTACAGCCTATGCTGTCACCTTGTTTATAATCATAAAAAGTATCGAAATATTTTTTAGAAACTTTATGAAATTAAAAATCCTAAAATCTAGTTTATAATCATAGAAAATTTGACCTTAGGCGTGATTGGAACTAAAATAGGTTGCATTTGGCTCAAAAAAATATTAAACAAGTTTTTCCTTTTTATTTTCAAAATCATACTCTATCTTCGAGTGCTAGAGTTATTTGACACTGCTCACCTAAACGAACATTTAGCTTATTTACCCATGATTTAAGCGCTACACAATAATATGCTATTTTCATTTAATCAACCATTTATCCTGTTTAAGTGGCTATTTAGCCCAAACAAAGCTAGATGGTAAGTGACTAACTATTTAGCATTTAGAATAACACTGTTATTTGAATCGTCTATGGTCTATTTTTTGTGTTTATTTGCTAGTTGATGTTCTCATTATTTATTACAATCGGTCAAGGATGACAACTCGTACTACGAGAGAATGGCAAACAACTTCAACGAAAACATACGCACCATGCAACTACCGATAAGTATGAACACAAAATATGTTAATTGACGATAAGGTGACAGTAACATGATCAAGTGATGTTTGTATTGTCGTTGAAGTCACTTGTCCTTCTATGTAGTCTAGAACATCAACTTTGGCTAATTGTAATAGATAAGGAGTGCATCTACTAGAAAATATTATGTTCGTCCCAAAATAAGTACATTTCTAGGATTCTTGGAGGAAATCAATGTTACTTTGAAATTACATATTTACCCCTATAAACCTATTTTATCATGTAGTGTTTGCGATTTGAAAGTAGAGAAACCAAAGAAAACCCTATTACAACTAGGTGGACCATACCTATAAGTGCACATATTTTGGAACAAATTTCAAATGCTAGAAGTACACTTATTTTGGGACGAGGGAGTAATATTAATAGGACCATAGAAGATTCAAATACTTCCAAGTTAGACGCTAAAAGATTGAATATAATTTTAAGGGAAATCTGAAACTGATTTCGTATTTTTTTAAGATACAAAATTTATGATTTTTTATTGCATAGTTTTTTAAAAGAAATATTAGATTGTTTTCTAAAAAATATTTGTATTTTTATGATAAATCTTTTTGAAATAGTCTAATTTACCCCCTCGAGGCTAATATGACGCCATGTAAACTAAAACCATCTTCAAAACTAGCCAGGAGTACGATCTATCCGATATAGGAGTATTATAATAGTTTAGAGTGTAAGGATATCCGGTTTTACAGTTTGACAAGGAGCGAAATCGGACAACGTGGACAATTATTTTTTTCACGGCCCGGTCCGAAGAATGTTAGATGGGCTTTGCTGGGCTTTAAAGATACGCACGTTATACAGCTTCGACAGGATGGACAGGGAGTCAGCTGTCGCCACACTCGCCCCGGCCGATTCCGCCGGCTACCAGGGGCGGACGCACGGGGGGCTGGGGGGCTGCAGCCCCCCCTTGGGCCGAATTAACAGGGAGCAATTCTTCAAAGCCAAGCCCAAAAACACCAGGAAACGTAGGTTCAGCCCCCTCCGGCTGCCTGCGCGTGCCGTCCCCAGCCCCAAGGTCCACGACTCGAGCGGCGCAGCGCTCGCGAGTCGCCCCGTCCGGCCGTCCCCCATCCTCGCGTCGCGACCCCTGGTCGCGACTGGCCCCGCCGCCGCCCTCCGCGCCTCCGCGGTCGCTGGCCGGCTTCGCAGCTCCGCTTGCCCCCTCCTGAGCCCTCCGACCGGAGTCCGGCCTCCGCGGCTCCTCCTTTGGTGGCGCCGGCGGCTACAGGCCATAGCCAGCGCCCAGCCGCCCAGCGAGCAGCGGCCAGGCCGCCAGGCAGCTCCTCTCTGCACTCTGCTCTCTCTCTGGTGTGACTGTCTGTCTGTCTCCAGTCTTGAGGTATCATTCAGTATTCCACGTTCCAGTGATTCAGACATTCAATGATTCAGTTTTTCAGTGATTTCACTTTGCTATATTTCATATTTAGGGCATAATAATAGACTACAATGAAAAGATATTATGCTAAGAAAGATGCTTCAAAGATTGCAACTAATGAGATATTATCACTGTATTTTAATCCATAATATTATCTTGCTTTGCCATTTTTATTTTTGTATGTAGATTTGGTGATGCCGGTCCAAGTGGTGTCTAATTGTTAAGACATATTTGATCATTTAATTATCGGAAACTCTTTATTAGGTACCTTTCTATCATTAATCATTAATAATGTATTGTTTGTTTGCGCACTTTGTGAATTAAGCAATATTTGTTATATCTGTTAGTCTATGGCCAGTACGATTTGTTGCCCTCTATAATTTAGCCCCCCTCTTGGTTCGTTTCTGGATCCGCCACTGCCGGCTACCCTTCCCTCCCCGACGGCGCCGAGCTCGCCTTCCATCCCCGCCCAAGCTCGTCCCATCCCGGTGCCTCGAACTCGTCATCCTCGCTCCTGTGGTCGCCACTGGGAAGCATGAGGAGGCGGCCTGGGATCGCTGGCTTGCAGTATGCGGTGGCTACTCGCGTATGTGCAGTTCTTATACTTGTTTTAAATGAGAGATCTGTGTTCTTTCTTCCCTGTTTGGAAGATGAGATGAGATTATTGCTGGGAACTTTCAGAACCAGTTCCGGCTGGTCGGGGAGAATGTGGCCAATGTCAGGACCGATGTCATGAAGGAGCAGCTTGCGACGTTTCAGCCACAGCTCGAGGAATTTACTTGCAAGCATAAGGTGATTCACTCTACTGTATTTAGTTGAATATCGAAGGTGAAAGAAAACCTAATAACACTTAATTGTTATGATGCAAAATTTGCAGATTATCTGTTGGCTTCTTTTGGATAATGATAATGATATAGATCGGATTACCCATCTTTTATGTAATTAAGTGTAAGATCAACGCTAAACCTCATGGCTGCCTGGGACTGGGAGAATCCATGAGGTTTAAACTCTGTATATTAAACTCCTTATCTTATCTGCTAAATGAATCGGCAGCGTCCTGCCAATATTCCTTAAAAAAACATAGTATCATTTATGCTTATGTGTATTATCTGTTGAATTCTTAACTAGAAATGAAATGGTTTGTTTTCAGAAAGCATCCTTCTACCGTGGGGTTCAACCTGCCCGACTGGTTCAGGAATCCAAAGGATGGTGATCCTTGTTCCGGGTTGGACGGCAATGGCGATGATGACTTTGTGCTCCCAGCCAAATCAGACTTCTCAGAAGAACAAGGCTGCTCGGCTACCGGTGCAGGATCCGGACCACTGTCGATCCTTTCCAGCTGCCCTGCATCCCATGAAGACGCCCGAGTTTGAGGCCGACGTGGATGAGGTCAGCAGGATTTTGAGATCCCGGTTTGCTTCTCCAGAGGCAATTGTGATCGCCATGGACTGCTGCCCTGTCAGGGTGTCAGCACGCCTTGTCGACAAGGTCCTGATCAGGTTCAGCAATGATTGGGTGGCCGCATTTGGGTTCTTCACGTGGGCGGGAACTCAGGCAGGCTACTGTCATTCTGCCGATTTATATGACATGATGGTAGACATATTGGGCAAGTTCAAGCAGTTTGATTTGATGTGCGGTCTGATCAGTCAGATGCATGAGATTGGGGGGTTGGTGTCGCTAGCGACCATGACGAAGGTGATGAGGAGGCTCTGTGGGGCCAACCGATGGAGGACGCCATTGATGCTTTCCATAAAATGGACCGCTTTGGGGTGGCGAAGGACACAAAGGCCATGAATGTGCTCTTGGACACATTGTGCAAGGAGAGGAGTGTGAAGCGTGCAAGAGGTGCCTTCCAAGCTTTGAAGGGGACAATTCCTCCCAATGAGAGTAGCTTCAACACATTGGTTCATGGCTGGTGCAAAGCGAGGATGCTTAAGGAGGCTCGTGAAACGATGGAGGAGATGGAGCGACATGGTTTCAATCCTTCAGTAATAACTTACACCAGCCTGATAGAAGCGTACTGCATGGAGAAAGATTTTCAGACGGTTGATGGTATCTTGGATGAGATGCACACAAAAGGATGCACTCCAAATATTATCACATACACAATTGTGATGCACACGCTAGGGAAGGCTGGGAGGACACAAGAAGCTCTGGATACTTTTGGCAAGGTGAAGCAAGATGGCTGTGCCCTAGATGCTTCCTTCTACAACTCTCTTATATACATACTCTGCAGAGCTGGGAGGTTGCAAGATGCAAATTTTGTGGTCGAAGAAATGCACCGAACTGGAATATCCCCAAACTTGACTACCTTTAATACCCTGATTTCTGCTGCCTGTGATCACTCTCAGGCTGAGAAAGCACTTAAACTGTTGGTTCAGATGGAAGAACAGTCATGCAAGCCGGACATCAAGACGTACACCCCCTTGCTGAAGCTATGCTGCAGAAGGCAATGGGTGAAGACGCTTCTGTTCCTGATATGCCATATGTTCCAGAAGGACATCACCCCTGATTTCAGTACATACACGTTGCTGGTGAGCTGGCTATGCCGGAACGGGAGGCTCACCCAGTCCTGCTTATTCTTGGAGGAGATGGTGCTGAAGGGCTTTGCTCCACAGCAGGAGACCTTTGATCTTGTGCTGGACAAGCTTAAGAAGATGGACATGCTTTCAGCTGTGAGAAAGATTCAGCTTCTCAGGATGCATACAGAAGGTACGGTGTAGGAGCGGTGTTCCATCTTACTTGAGAGAGGATGGTCATGGTAGACAGTGTTATGCTGTATTGTCAAACACTAGTGAAGCTGAATCTTGAATAGATGGGAAAAAAAAAGGGTACCCAGAGCTGTGCATACACTGTAAAAACTACTGTTAATCTGTTTAATCTCTGCCTTCTACACTTGAATGTTGTACTTCTCATCGTAGGCTGCTTGCATTTTTTTCTCTTTTATAATAAGAATCTATGTGTATGCACATAGCAACCAAGGATGGACAGTTTTTTCCTTGCACCTTAATCTTGCCTCGATTTGTAGTTATCTCTATCCTTTTACCCTTGCCAGTTGAGAAGGGCAGTATATGCTTGTTTTTACTTGGAACTTTTCACGACTGTTTGCGGTAATGCCTTATGCAGGTTCCTTATTAGTATATACGAATTTTGGTGCAGTAATTCTCACTGTGTATATGCTTTTCAGGATCTTCAGGGACATCAATTACTCCCACATAATAACAGTGAAGCCTAACAATGTACTTGAAGCCATCATGTGATGTGCCTAAGTTATATTCAGGGGCTATTTCATGAACATACTTATTTGTTGAAATGTTGTGGCCTATCCATGTGGCTTACAAATTCCAGCCATTCTCCAGACCTTATGTTCAACAGACAAATTTCCATAGAATTATAGCCACATTTATCTATTAAAATGGAGCACCAAGAGAGACTTATTGCCTTTTTTTAACTTCTAGAACAGGCTTAAAACATTTCTATGCACTGTCTTTCCACTTTTCCAGCATTTTAACCTTTTTTCATCCTTTTGTCAGCTGCTTTGAAACTTCCATTTTCTCCGTGCCATCAATGGATACTTAGCACACATCATTTCCACGTAACACAGGATCAATTAGTACTGGGCATATAGCATATTGCTCAGAGGATAATTTTAGAAATTTTGGAGAATGTTTATTCAGTTAAAGAAGAATTACCTTGACTTGCTTTCTATTTGCATTAATCGTATATTTACCAGTTAACTATCTTGTTGGGTATTTTTGAGCCTGCTGCTTTGTTCTGGTGAAACCTTGACTATCTAATAAAAGAGTATGCACGAAACTATATCTGAACTTTGAGGATGGTGCGTCAATAACATGCATTGTGGATTTTGCTAATTCTGCAATCCTAATAGTGGGTACCTTGATGAGTGGCGATAGATCCTGTCCAGGGTTATAGCTGCTTCCTTTTTTCTTCTGATCCACTGATGTTGTCTCACTTGTGTGCACTCCTACCAATCCAAATATATTCGTTTATGCCTGATTCGAATTTGTTTTGTAACATAGCAATGGTTTTCTCCCAGCAGTTTTTTATACCATTGGACAGTCATATGAACTTATAGATTGGAACCGGATCAATTGACAAGGTTAGTTTACTAATATAAAGATGGATATAGAATGGTTTTACTGCTTTGATAGCTTTGCTCTCTCCTATCTACCATTTCATTTTCGTATGTAGTAGTACATACATAGATGTGCACAGTTTTTCGTTAGACTGATCTAGAGGCAGGGCTTGATCACTAAAGTTTTCACCTTTATATTTAAAGCCATCTGTATAGATTCCCGTAACAGCTAAGCATTTTTCTTGCAATGCGTAGGTTTGGAGATGATGTTCACTCTGCTTGCATTGCCCAGACCTATAATATTAATTGCCACTGTAGTGTGTTATTGTAACCAATGTGTTTGAATTCAATTTCTTGGTGTTCCATTGTTGAAATCAGCTGGTGCACCCTTGGTGCATTGGTTTGCACACGTGCTGTTGTTTCACGGAGGCAGTGCCCATAGTGAGGCGAGTATGTCAAGATGCACTACCATGATTGTCTTTGATGAACTTTAACTGCTTTGAGCCTTTGACAAGCAACATGGGGCTATTTTCCGTTCTCTATTTAAGGCATTCTTGTGTTCTTGTACATCCTTGTGCCTCACCAAGCTAATATTTTGGTTTAGTTAGATAATTTTGCTATAACGGCATCGGCATCTATCTTTTAACTGTGATCTTTGTGTTTAAAAACCACATGAAAACTGTACAGGATTTTTTTATTAACCCTTTTCTCTCTTGACGGTGTCAGGTAGGTAGACACGAAGGGGAGCCCTAGCTTCTCCGCTGCAATGCAACAAATGGGCCAAGACTTGGAAAGATGATGAATACAGACAGCATCGAGGGCAGGGGCGGAGCCAGCCCTCTTCATTACTGTCACGTGACAGCAATGATTTCTGTTGATTTCCATTATAAATTGATGCTCATATGTGAAGTTAAGCCATGGTGTGACATCAATAGAATTTTGGGCTGGATCTGCCCCTAATCGAGGGTCTGTAATTTAATGGTAACCGTGGATACCGGTTCTTTGGGTTGATACCCTTTTTTTTTTTTTTTTGGCCTTTCTGGGCAAATACCACTACCTTGGCCCTAGGCATTTTTTGGGCCCTTTCTGGGCAAATACTGGAATGGATAAAGCTTGGTAACGGTGGTTTTGGGAGAGAACCATTATTTATAAATGTTTGCCCTCCTCATCAACATCGTTTGGAACTTAATTTTGCAACTCATCAGCAGTGAACATGTAACATCGGGAAACTTCAAAAAATCTGAAAAGAATCTATGTACAAAACTAAAGTGTCAATGGATACATAATCATTCAGATTTTGCACTGAATAACAGCACAAGCAATATTATTGTCCTCTTTATATACAGGATTAGAGCCGCCATTGCTGCTGCTCATGGAACTCAGGTTAGCTTGCACAAGTACTGTCTGCATGCCTGTTAATACGCAATCTCCGTCTCACAAGCGGCCCTGTCATGGGCTCATGGCTCTATTTTCCTTATGACTTTACACTGGAGTGTAGTTTCATTTGGGGTATAAAAGTGCTACTGGTCGAACAGAATCTGGTTGATGGGAATGCGTGCTACCAAATCAATCTAGATGATCATGGTTTGAGATGAGTCCACGTATCTCTTCTGTCATCCGAAATGTCGTTTCACTTTGTGCCGATGCCGATGATCCATAACCAATGAGAATATTAGCGCCTGTTCCTCAAATGCTCTGGATGGTTCCTCAAATCTGGACTGAAAAGTAGTGAGACTCACTTTATTGTATAGGCCTTCTACTTTGGTCCTGGGTTGACTTCTTGAAAATATTTGCGCCTGTCCATTAACACCAAGATGGTTACTTGAAGAAAGATTTAAAAAAAAACTACAGAGAACAATTATTAAAGAGATCATACAATTGCGATTCATCGTATTCTTGGAGCAGCTTTTGTGCTCCACGCAAAAACTTTCTTCGGCCTTGTGGTTGCCATCCTGACCTCTCCAGATATTCTTCGATCAACCTGATATTACCAGAGACAAAAATACCACATAATTGATCTACAGAATGGCCAAAAAACAGAGTTCTAGATGGATCTAAGAACTTACATGCTACAGATTGACTTTTGAGAGGCAGCCACTTCATGGTCTGGAAAGGAATCATCCATTCTGAAGCTTAACCACACATATAACTCTAGGACCTGAAGTGATCACCATAATAATTTGTATTCAGAAGAATGTTGACAATATATACAGTAAATGGCTATGAACTGACAAGTTACTAAGTTACTGCTACAACAACAACAAAGCCTTTTAGTCTCAGGCTAGTTGCAGTAGGTTAGAGTTGAAACCCAACATGAAACACCAACAAAAAAGAACAAGAAAGAATAATAAAATAAATATATACAAGGCATCAATGATTGTGATATTATTCAGTGATGTAAAGCCTGCTCATGGTTCAGGAGCAGTAGGAATTTAGGAGCAAATAAATAACCTTGTGAACAGATTCAAGCTCCTTGAGTTGATTGTCTGTTTTAGGAACCTGTAATGTTCCAGGTGTGAATATCTCTTTAAGTCGAACAATGCCTTTCCTTGCATAATTTTCTGCAAACTGCATATTGAAGAAATTAGAAACATGTGTCCTAGTTCCACAAAAATATAGCAAAGGAAAATAATAAGATAGAAATGCTTACCTGAACTAGTCCTTGGACAGATATATCATCACGTATGTCCACTGGACTGCAATATGAGTTGGAAAGTAATTAGATAACAGTGGTTCACAAGAGTTGTGGAGCAAGACAATTCAAAAATACATACAAGAGGACAGATTGGTACAGTATCACAGTAATATAGATCACCTGATACAGAAGAGGTATTTATCATACAATCCGAGAGGAAATCATCAACTATAGCAGCAACCTTCTGTTAAAACAACAAAAGAAATAATACTTAACGAAATATTATACTTGCAACTTAACAGAAAACATACTCTACCTAGGAAAGTTCACTATTGTTATAAATTTAAGGATAATGCGATGTCATTGTTTTTTCAGCAGGTATTCAGTCTATTTCTACCCAAACGATTTCATCTTGATTTTATACAATGTTTCCTTGTAGAAAATTTGACCCAATAAAGAAAAAGGCACTTATTGAAAAATATACCAGCATATCTTCACAATCAGCAATAAAATAGTCTGGTGATAGTTTAGCCTTCTCCAAGAAACGTTCCTGCAGCCCAACAAAATGAAAACTAATACACATTTTCTGATCATAAGAAGTAGCTGCAAAGAGCCAGAAAGCACTGATATACATTTGGTGGGAGCAAACTAAATATGATAACAAGCTATTCAAGAGATGATATCTCCAGATATGGTAGATTAGGATCATGTAATCCCGGTTTGCCTTATCTTATCTCTAAGGGAGCCTTCTTGTCTCCTAAGCAATGTACACCTATATAATCTGCCCATGAGACTCAGAAATACAATCGCCTATTCCACCAATTCTATTCCTCCTATACAATGTAGATAGACGAAAGGCAACTCTACTTCAATATTCTGAGCAAGTCAACTAAAGCTGAGCAGCAGAAAATTGAACAAATACACAGATACCTCAAAAGAAATGAAAATATTGTGAAGGAAGTTCAATTGATGCCAATGCAAAAGATTGTGACATATTTGCTTGAACCAACCACCTAAAGAATTATGAAGCAGCTATAGTGCTAGAAACTAATGGTATCTGGGATCTGGGCAGTTTTCTCAGTCCTGCTGACGAGTTGTTTTCGTTTTAGTGCAAAACCCAGGGGAGTTCTTCCCTCAGGACTGAGTTTTATAGCGCTAGAAACTTCTGATGGATATTGAAAAATAGCACAGGAACTTGTAGTATCCCAGCTAAATGGTTATCACAGTATCACCATTAAGTTGTTTGTCAAGTAAAACATGTAACTTTGCTGTTGACAATCAGTTATAGAATCCAAAGTATGTGTTTGTATTGAGGCATTTTACACAAAGCATGAGAGATGGTTTGTTTAGCTTACCAGTACAGGGTGAAAAAAGTCAGTTCCATGTAATCGTGAATACAAAGATAATAAATCAAATGTGGGGAAAAGTCCAGCACGCTGCAGAGAAACAAAGTCAGCAGTTGTGGTTGTTTGTGCTAATTATGAACTATACAAAGCTTCTTGCTGCATTCATATTGCTGGAAGGTAATCTAGTGTGCAGTAAAGAGAGTACCTCTATAATGGGGGAAGCTGATTTCAGAGACGAGTGCAGCAATGGGAGATCTTCAGCATTTAGACAGGTCACTTCTCCAACAGGGAACTTAGACCCATATCTCCCAGCCCTGCCTACAGAAAGAAGGCAAAAGTCAAAACATGTAAGATGTGCCCAAAATAATGCTCAACAGCCTGTGAATCAAGGGAAAACAAAAGGGCGAAAAGGAAACTTCTGGAGGTAAAACATAAGAAGAAAATTCAATACCAGCGATCTGTTTGATTTCGGCCACAGTTAGTTCCCTGTTGCAGAAACCGTCAAACTTCATCATTGTAGAGAAAATAATTCTGGAAATGTTCAGATTAAGACCCATTCCAATAGCATCACTAGCTACTAGCACATTAAGGTCACTGGTATCATCATTGAACATTGTCGCCTGCAAGCTTAAGGAATAGGTTAATTCATGCATGACCACCAACAAGGTTACTTTTATGACAAAAAAAAAAGACTACAAGCATGACTCACAAAATCTTGAAATCCTGGCTAAAATTATGAGCTTGTGGGTTATGGCATTAATTGCGCAAACCAAGAAAAAACTGGTTGGCTGTGTACTTTAAAGTCCAGCATCAATACTGGATGGCCCTGTATGATTATCATTGAGTATTACCCAAGTAACATCTTACACATGCTGCTATTCATCTTAACATATGGAACGTGTGGCATCAATGAGGCAAAAGTACAATAGTATAGTATGACAGTAAATACCCAGATGTAAGCAAATACCTGCTTTGTTCGAGTTTCTGGTGGCAATGAACCATAGACCACAGAGCAAAGATGTTTTCCCTCCCTTTCAATTCTTTTCTGAATGCATGAAAATTTGCAAAATAAGAAAGGTGCCAGAAACTTCATATTCACTTCATCTACTGGATATCTTTTTACTGATAATGAATTCTAATCTGTTATCTGTAGATCAATACAAGGATGTGTTTCCAGGGTTTTAATGTGCAGACATAGGGAAAAAAGTTAGCAGGCGTTGTCGTGGTAACTCCGTTGCTGGTCCTTGATCTTTGTGCATTGGATCTGCCCCTGGTTTAATGGGTCCACTCTTTTTATGGTTGTGGATTTGAATTATCTGTTTCACAGACTTCAGTTTACGTGGAGTATTCAATTGGCAAGGCTTATGAAAAGCATAAGGAAAACAAACATACTTTGATGGTTGCTAAATAGAAACAACTATCCTCAGATGTCTGATTTTGCTCATTTCCTAGGTTTTACTGTATTTGTTTTATGTTTTTCAAGAACTTTGAAGGACATGTTATGTTTATTTCTTAGATATATGGAGTCATCACGCAAATGCTTGATATATGAAGCAATTCTGCAATGGCCAGTTGAACCATACTAACCTTGAGAGTATAAATTCCACGTCTTGAAAATGTTACTAAACAATCTCCTGCCTTGATGTTAGAGAAAGACCCAAGTGGAGACTTCAGAGGAACCAAAGGAGATAGTCTCTCATAATATTGAACCTGCTCAACAACATAGGATCTGTAAATTTGGATATTTGCCTGATAACATTCATTATATGCTTGCATCAGTACTTTAGCATTATCAAGGAAAAGAAAATTACTCCCTCCATACCAAATTATAACTCATTCTTGCTTTTCTATATACATAAATTTGCTATGCATATAGATCGACACTTATGTCTAGATACATCTAGAAAACCCCAGAACGACTTATAATTTGGAACGGAGGGAGTATTATGCAGAACAAATTCATTTGGAAATCCACTTGGATATTCTTTGCATATACAAAAGAGCAGCATAATAGCATACCACCAACCAGAGCTGCATAAGACTGCACGTTATCTTCCCATTAAGGCCTTGTTTGGATGCGCATGTATTCATCTCAATCCACATGTGTTGAAGTGGATTGGAGTGGAATTGAACTAAATTCCATTCCATTCCACTCCAGCACATGTGGATTGAGGTGGATACACATGCATCCAAACAAGGCCTAAGGAGGTTCCCAAATGGGTTTACTCTATAGTTGTGATTTTTTTACAACGGTCAACATTTATTAACATTAGATCAAGCACACGAAAGTGCTGCATTGATAAATATTTTCTTAGAAAGATTTAAACGTATTAAAATTGATAATAGTGGTTAAAACTTGTATTTTGGAGAATGCGGCAATGTCCATGCCACTTATATGTGATCACAGGAGGTACTAGACAAGATAGTTACAATCTAAGGCCCTGTTTGGATCTCCTAAGAAAAATGAGAATGAGATCCAAACACTTAACTATCTATCCAAAGCGGGACCATTTTTCCTCTCTTAATACAATGATACGCAGCTCTCCTGCGTGATTCGAGAGAAAAAAAAAAAACCTACTATTTAAAGATTTTCACTATACGAAGGCAATAATCATTATGAGAATGAGATTCAAACACCCCTCATTTGTTTAATCTAGAATCCAGATTCCATATCACTATCTAGAATCACTATGAGAATGAGATCCAAACATGCCACAAGTAGGGCAAGGGCCTAATTGAGTAGTATGACAGATGGTGTTATCCACGAAATATGATATTCAACATATATAAATGTGAACGAAGCCATATTTGAGTACGTGACAGTGTCAGAAAAGTGTTGCATATCTTAAGCCAGCGTGGAGAGAATTTGAAATACTTAAGCTTAAAGTCAGCTAAGTCTTGCAAGATACAGATATTGTTGATGTTTCATCACATAATAGGTAACTACATCATCTCTCTTTCTTGTACAAAAAAAACTGTCTGTCCATGTCAAGAAATCTAACTTCATAATGGCAGTATACTGGCAGAGTAACATGGTTGGCAACCTTAACACACTTCAAATTCACAACTACGATATATGGACAAAAGAATAAATAATATATAAGTCCACTGTAGCACTATTGTCCATTTGGTTAGTTCATCTAGATTACCGTAACTACATCACCAGTAGCTTCAAGAATTCGCTGGATAAGGGGAACAGCAGCTGGGTCACCACACACATGAAGTTCATCTGAACAAAGCCCCAGAAGTGCACGTGTGAACGAATAACCCCTTGATTTACAGCCAACCATCTATTCCATGGAATAAGACAAAATTAGAATGATGGGGGATGTTCCAAATAACTCTTTATTGACAGTGAGATACACAATTGTTTTGATCATTTATTAAAAAATAAAATCAAATACACAAGCCTCTAGCTTACTATTTGTAGTTATTTATAGACATCTCTGATATCCCATCCTAGCAGTCTACAAATGAGTGTTACTTTAAGTACCTGAATTTCATCAATAACAGCACATTGATAGTCAGTTGTCACATCAGCCATCTCAACTGTCACTGAACTATGTTTTGCACCTTCAATTTCGTCCCTTTCTTGTCCAGTAATCAAGTTACAAGGGATGTTAACTTTGTTTAACCTTTGGGCTATCTCTCTTGCTAACAATCTCAGAGGTCCACAGTACACACCTACAAAAATTGAAGAGAACTCAGCAACCATGGTAACAGTACGTTCTTGAGTACATGTTGATCAAAATAGTACCTGAAGAGCTGGCTTCTAGTCTCTTGAGAGCACTATAAGTTTTCCCACTGTTTGTAGGGCCAACATGTAAAAACACATTACGCTTCTTTTCTCGGGCTTTAGGGTACCAGATATGAGGATGCCTGTTGTCCGAGGTAGCACATAGATTAATTGAAGTTTACATGGGAAAATAAATGAGAAGATGGGCTGCTACATGCTAGCATGCAAATAACCCTTAGGTTCACATTACCCTTTCAGTATAACCATTGGACCATTCCAATAAAAGAAAAGCATTATTGCTAGGGAGAACTACACAAACTACAATATAAGTGCCTCCCAGTTATTTTGAACTGTACTCATAATTCAAGACACTATAATAACTTACTATATATTGGATTTTTTTTTTGTTATGGTGAATAATGCTGGGTAACAGTAACAGCATCCCGGACTGGAAGGTTACTTTAGGAGTCAAGGAATGGATTGTGTTGAAGGTATTATGGTACAAAATGCATGAAATTTATACACCCAAACTTGAATATGCAAGGAAAAAATTTGAATTTTACACAAGTCAATAGGATACGTATTGATTCTTACGTCAGATCAGTCAAATCAAACTTCCCAGAGTTATGGTAGGTCCTCCAAAATCTCAAATTAGTAGAGTTCACCATTGAGTGTAGATCAGAATTGGAAAAAAGGCCACAAGTATATACAACTGTACAGAGTATGGAGCTTATTAGACAGAAAAGCAATTCTTAGATATGTAAGAACAATGTATAATGGATAGAACCACCAGTGGCTTTGACACTGGAACAAAGTGAAGTACTAAAGCAAATTTTAAAGTACAAGGCAAAGAAGTATGAAATAATAGCATAACCACGATACAGCACTGTGCTGTCCTTTCCATACATGCCATATACACCAAAACTGAGACCACAATTTCTTGTTCCTTGTATGATAAATTTCTTCAAAGCTATGCTCTATTCATCAGAAAAGAAAAGAATACTACAATCACAACCGAACAAGAAAATTATCGCCTTTTCCAACTGCTCATTTATCCAATCAAACATGAAACATAACACAGTGATGCTACTAATAACCTGCAAATAGAGACTACCACTGATACCACCACTGGTCGGTAATGTCTGCAGAGGGCGCGTTTGGTTTTGGCATTCCACCAAACACATGGCACCGGACCCCAACCAAAAGAACAAACAAACCGACCAACCACCATACGCAACGCCCAAGGATACAACCTCCCAAGGTAGTACGTACCATTTCGGCACGAGGAGACCGCGTGGGGCGACGAGAGCGTCCTCTGGCGCAGCAGGACGGCAACCGCCATTATATCTGATTTTCCTTTCCCCTCTTTCTATCTCACTCACTTCCCTCCGCGGCGCAGCACGGTTCAGACTCGACGACAGCGAGGTGCCCGGGCAACCTTGATCGCGCAGGACGGCAGGGGTCCGGGGAGAGGGAAACAGCCAACCAATGCGCCCGTTGGGTGGGTGAGGAGGAGGCGGCGGCCGATGCTTTCGCCGGGAAGCGAGGCAGCGGAGGAAGAGGAGAAGAAAACCATGCGTGGCCCCCCAAGACCCGGATATTCCTTTTGCCCATCGGCCCAGTTCACTTATTGGGCTTGGGACGAAGGCCCATGTATGGGCCCACGCTATCCAGCACGAGTCCGAGTCCACTTGCGGGTCCGGATGCCGCCTCCGCTTCTTCGTCTTCCTCTTTCTTCTAGTTTCGGCTAGTCTTCAACGAAGAGCGGAACCGTGCCGCCCTGACCGAGAACTGAAGCCACCGGACGCGCAGCCTCCTTCTCGCCTGCTGCTGCCGAAATCCACGGGAGAATGTGAGGAATCCTTCGACTCGGCAGCTAGCCCAGTTTATTTCTTCTTTGCTGTTGTTGCCGGGTGTGTGCAGGACGATGGCCGAGGCCGAGGCTGGTAGGGCGGCGATCCGGCGCGCCCTGCGGTCGCTGAAACGAAGGCACCTCGCCGAGGAAGGGGCGCACAGCCCGGCCATCGAGGCGCTAACCCGTCCCTTCGCCGCCCACGTGAGGCCAATCTCCTATTTTCCTCTCCCTACTTTTCCCAATCTTGCAGTTTACTCCTTCCCTTTTTTATCGTACTTTGAAGTCTGCAAACGAATGTGAGCCTACTGGATTCAACTGTTTGTATCGCCGGAACATCCCAGTTTTTTTTTTTTAGAATTTTGGACGATAACTTGGGTGTTTAGTGAAGGAGAGGTTGTTTTGTTAACTCCTTGTAGGCTTTGGAGTGGAAAGAGAAGGCTGAGAAGCATGAGTTGGAGCTGCAGCACTGCTACAAGGCACAATCCCGGCTCTCTGAACAGCTTGTAACCGAGATAGAAGAAGGTAAAGCGTCCAAAGCACTGCTCAAAGAGAAGGAAGCGATGGTTACAAGTTTGCAGACTGAACTCGAGAAGACGAGGTATTAAATGTGATTTATTTTTGCTAAGCTTGGTCACAGTTGTGGAGAACATGGTACTTAGCACTTGTGCAAAACTTTTACAGCGAAGAGAATGTACAACTAAAGCAGTCACTTGACGAAAAAACAAAAGCCTTAGATCTTCTCATTCAAGAACATCAGACAGTGAAAGCCGAACGTGAACAAGCATTGACGAAACTAAAAGCTGCAGAGGATGAGAACCAAAGTCTGATTGATCGATGGATGCTAGAGAAGATGAAGGACGCAGAGAAGCTCAACGAGGTACCTTATTTTCCTTTTGTTGCTTAAAATGCACGTTTGCAATATGCGATATCTGAAATCAGGGATTGTCCAAGCATTATGCTTGTGGCTTGCCTACTGAGCATGATAGACAAATTAACTTTACCTATTAGGCTATTAGCAATGTATATTCCTTTATCATAGTTGCAATGAACCTGTAGTAACCAATGGAGAATTGGAGATACATCAAAACAAGGATGCTTATCATACCATAATGGTGCAAGCAACAGTACAATATTTCTCTTGGTAGAATTTCGTTAGTTTAGTTCTATAATTTGCATCAACTGCCGAAGTGTATCCTTGTAAGTGACCTTCTTAGACCAGTCTTGAAATATCTGCCCCATATTTAGCTAAAAACTGTACCCATAACACTTGCATGTATAAGTTACTGCTTTAATTGTTGTAAAATAATTGTCTAGGCCAATGCGATGTATGAGGAGATGGTTCTAAAGTTAAAGACAGCTGGAGTTGGTGGTATACAACTTAATGCACAGCAAGAAGCTGATGGCATCATACGGTGTTCTGAAGCTGGTTACATGGAAACACCAATCCCATCAACATGCACAATAACTATTCGTGCTCATGATGGTGGGTGTGGATCTTTGATGTTTGAGCATAACTCAGACAAGCTAATTAGTGGGGGTCAGGATCAAACTGTTAAGATATGGAGTGCATCTACTGGTGCCTTGACCTCCACCTTACATGGTTGCTTGGGGTCTGTTAATGATCTTGCCGTGACCAATGATAACAAGTTTGTGATCGCTGCCTGTAGCTCCAATAAGCTGTTTGTGTGGAAGTCAATGGGGACGTCCTCGCCACACTCTGACTGGTCACACAAAAAATGTTTCATCTGTTGATGCAAGCTGGGTGAAGAGCTTTGTTATTGCTAGTTCATCCAATGATCGTACTATCAAGACTTGGGATCTACAGACAGGTTTCTGCAAAAGCACCATAATGTCTGCAAGCAACCCCAACTCACTAGCTTTCATTGATGGTGACATCATTTGTTCGGGCCATAGGGATGGAAATCTTCGGCTATGGGATATCCGTAGGGGGAAATGCACTACACAGATAGCTGCTCATCTTGATGTCACCTCGGTCTGTGTGTCACGGAGCAAAAATTTTATTCTTACAAGTGGGAGAGATAATGTGCACAACCTTTTTGATGTTAGAACACTGGAGATTTGTGGAACATTCAGGGCCATGGGTAACAGAGTGGTGGGCAGCTGGGGCAAACCTTGTATTAGCCCTGATGAAAATTTCGTTGGTGCTGGTTCTTCTGATGGATCTGTTTACATATGGTCGAGACTGAAGAATGGAACACCGACCATCCTAGAGGGTCATTCTTCACCTGTTCTCGCAAGTGCATGGTGCGGACTAGGACCTCTTGCTACCTCGGACAGGAATCATATTTATCTCTGGTCTTGAGAGATTTACAAATTCATAAAGGCATCCAATCCAAGATCTGGACACTGGAGGGTTTCACTTCATCAGTATGCTAAGATGTGCTCTCTTTATTCTTGATGACACTAGTTTTAATGTGAATGGATTAACGGGTTCTGGACGTTGTAAATATCAAAAGTGAATGTTCATCATAGTGATGACTACTTCAGTTCGCCATCTGTGTAATGGTTTGCGATGTTTTGATGGCTGAAATTTCTTGATATTGATGGTTCAGTTTGGTGCTATTTTAAGGGTGAACTTTTGAAACACCAGTCAGCTCAGCAAACATCGTCCAGCATTAAGGAAAATGACATTGACATAGGAATAGTTTCTCCATAGCACTTCTAATTTGAATGCGTTTGTTAATTTTACTCCAATTAATTTATTCAGTTGAGATATTCTGGGCTTACTTGTGTGGCATTCTATATAGTGAAACCTGATAGTAGTTCCTATTTTTGTATAGTTACGTCAGGGTGCTAATGGCATATGTGCAGAAAATTATGCACTTGCTCTTCTTCATCGTTTTTCTTTTGGTCCGTTTGTGTGAGGAGGGGAGTTGAAAGTCAGGTTTAGTTTACTTGAAGCTTTATCCAAAGAAGCTTAGTCTGTAGTCTTGCAACTGCACTTGTTTCAGGAGAGAGATCAATTAAGCCACCTGTACTGTACTTCTTCGTGTCAACTGCCTTTAACAGAGGATGTGTTGTGGAGATAGGAGGGCAGGAGGCCATGAAGACGGTCAAGATGTGTACATCATTTGCTGTTGAGTTCATGCACGGGATGTGCACAGCCAGATATGTCGGTACTCGTTCTAGGTGCACAAAATTAATTTCGGAGAACATGAGCTATGTTCCTCCAATTTTACAACAGGACAAAAAAGGTTCAGAAGAGCAAGTAAAGAAGAGCTGCATGATAATGACGTATTTGTGAATCAGTGATGGCTGTTGTTGCCACAACTTGATTATATCCTTAGAAAGACCAAAAGGAAAAAAAAAACAATTGCACCGCCGTGTCACCAACACTTGAAAAGGCACTACTAAGCTAGCCAAACCACCCTTTTTATTTTACAAGAATTATGCAGCACGACAAGCTAAAACTCATCCAAAAAAATGGCCTGGTGCAGTGGTGCTCAAACTCATCATCATGAATATGATGGCCTGCAAAAAAGAGAGAGATTTCAATGCTCAGGCAATGCCCGTCACACCAGGCCATCATCAGCTGTGGAGCTGACAGCGTGATGCTCAGGCAATGGCCTGTTCGCCGGTTTTTTTGGGCTGATGTTCGGCATGGCCAATCTTGGTTTGTTGTGATGAGAAAAAATACTGTTGAATGGCTGATAAGCTCTGGAACGAGCGAAAAGGCTGAATGAGGAAGAAAATGGGCGTCAGTTTCAAACCAGTCGGCGTCACGGAAAGGAAGCTTGACAGAGAAACCGAAACACTCTCGGGGATGAGATCAGATGAGACCACGAATGGCCGAGCGGAGAAGGAATCAGGCCCCACGTGGCAGAGAGACCCATGTCCACGGGGTCAGCCGCAACCGCTCGCCGGGGCGGGGCCCCTGACGGCGACGAGGCACCGCTTGATGGGCGCTGGGCGCATCCGCCCCACAGCCCCGCCCGCCCGATCGTCTGGTCTGGGTGAGCAGGGCAGCACGGCAAGCAGGGCTCGCCACAAGAGACATCAATCATTGAGCTCTTTTCCATGGGTTCATGCTGCAAGAAACCCACCAATGATTGGGGACTCGCCTCACCCACGGCATGCAGCAATAGCATGCTCTCATGTCTCATATGAAGGATCGGTATGGTTTAATGCTGGATTCGTTGGGAAATGACCTGAGTTTTTGTCAGGATTCGGGAGATGAGATGTTCTGAGCTACTGTCAGAACTCGTAGTGCTCTGAAATTATGAGTATGTTAGTCAGGGTTGATCTGACATTCTGATTGTGCTGGTTGCAGAAACGAGTTTGGAGACAAAATTTATCAGAGTAGTTCAGCCACTGGGAGCTAAATTTGCAGTTTTTTTTCTAGTAATAACAACATAATAATGAAATTTATATCACAGCTTCAGCTCATCCTGGACAAAACGTCTAGTACATCATCTGATCAAGAAAACATCTATGATCGTCTGATCAGATGGAAATGGAGCAACCAA